GATCTCAAAATACTACTGGGAAGAGTTTCCTCCCCAATTTAGAGTCCACAATGATGACAGGGATGAAATAAAACATTTTAGAGCTTCATTTGCTGACAGCATGACTCACAATGAGAAAAAATGCCTGCAGATATTCTTTTAAAAGCAGACAGTGGAATGTACTAAGTATGATATAGGAAAATTAGAAGTCAGCAGAAATACAATGGAGCCCATAAGGATTAATAGTCAGATGATTAGTGACAGGCATTAATGAGCTGAAATGGACTGGTATTGATCATACTAAATCAGATGGTGTTATGGTCTACATAGTGTTACAATAATTGACAAAAAGAACGAACTAAGATCTATCTTGTAGTGCAGTGCTGTCAGTGAGAGGACACTATCTATCTGCCTTCAAGACCAGGGAATATAGCTATTATTCAAATTTAGGCACCAACCCCAAATGTCAAAGATGAATAAATTAAAGATTTTTACCAAATGCTACAGTCTGAAATTGATCAAATACACAATCAGGATAGATTGATAATTACTGATGACTGGAATCTAAAACTTGGAAACAAAAAAGAAGGATTCGTAGTTGGAAATAGGTGTGGTGATAGAAATAATGCTGTAGAGTATATGGTGGAATTTTGCAAAAACAATGAACTGTTCATTGCAAAAAAACATTTTTCTACCAATATGAATTGCAACTATACAAATGGACCTCACTGGGTGGAATACACAGGAATCAAATTGACTACATCTATGTGTGAAAAGAAGGCAACGGAAAACATTCATATGATCAGTCAGAACAAGACCAGGAACCAACTTCGGAATAGACCATAACTAAATTGCTCATATTCAAGATCAAGTGGAAGCTGAAGAATATTAAAACAAGTCCACGACAGGAAAAGTATGACCTTGAGTATATTCCACCTGAATTTAGAGACCATCTCGACATAGATTTGATACATTGCACACTCATGACCAAAGACCAGATAGGCTTGGAGATGACCCCAAGACCATCACACATGGAGACAGCAAACAGTCACTAAGAAGACAGGAGAGAAAGAAAATACCCAAATGGATGTCGGTAGAGACTCTGGAACATAAAGTAACCGGAGCCCATAGAAGAAAGCCTGAGGCAAGAGCTGAACCAAGGCTTTCAAAGGTGGTTCCAGAACAGGAAGCTTTGAAATGAAATGTGCAATGACTGGGCTGAGAACATTTAAAGAAAATATCACTCTTGGCGTTTGGCAAGCTGAAAGACATGAAAACCCGAAAACTCAAACTTGGAGTGGCAATATCGAAGGACACAAAATTTAATGATGCAGGAAGCATCAAAAGAAGATGGAGTTACGATAGCAAAAAGAATCCATCTAGCAATGATCAATATATAACACCCCAACCCCCAGAGGGATGAACAACAGAAATGTGGGTGAAGGGAGGCAGCTGACTGTGCAAGATATGAAAATAATCATCATTTATAGTTTATCAAGGGATCACAAGAATGGGAGGTGGGAGAGGGGGAGGAGCTGATACCAAGAGCTCAAGTAGAAAAAAACGTTTTGAAAATTATGATGGCAACATATGTACAGATGTGCTTGACACAAAGTTTCTAAAGCTATAAATCTTCACAGGAGCAGAGTGTGCACCTCTCTCCTCTGAGGTGGCTGATGACTTCAACCATTGACCTTTGCATTACTAGTCAAGTGTTTAACCATTTGTGTTACCGGGACTCCTTCTAGTTAAACATGCACAGTAAAATTTTAGGAGCCCTGGTGCCATCCTGGTTACACACTGGGTTGTTAACTGCAAAGTCAGCAGTTTGAAATCACCAGCTGCTCTTGATGGGGGCGGGGGAGGGAGGGGGACACTTTCTAGTCCTGTAAAGAGTTACAGTCTCAGAAACCCACAGGAGAAGTGCTACCCCGTCCTATAAGGCCTCCAAGAGTTAGAGTAAACTGGATGGCGAAGATTGAGAGTAAGATTTTGTAGGTAACCACTTCCAGAATGGAAATAGTGTGCGTAACTTCCAAAGCAGGTACAGGGAGAAGAAACTAAGAAGAGATTTCTTTTCACTTGAGAAATAAGCAAAAGCCTCTAGATTTGTTCCTCATCTTTGTGGACTTTGAAGATAATAAATTTGGATTAGGTACAGTGCAGAGCTGGTAAGCCTACAGTAACAATTAACCAAGAACAGAAGAAAAACCCAAACCTACAGCAATCCGGTCCATTATGACACATGGCAACTCGACCTAGAAATGTCAAGTCTGTAAATCTTCATGGGAGCAGAGAGCCTCATCTTTCTGCTGGTGAGACTGGACCCCAGATGGTGCAGTTAGCAGTCCAGTGCTTGCCTGAAAGCCCCACTGATGCTCCTTCAGAAGAAGAAAGAGGAGGGGAAATGATGCTATGGGTTACTGTTTATATAAGAGGGGAAAAACTTAGAGCAGAGATATAAAAGTGTGCAGAGTTGGAGCCAGCCAGAGTGACAGAATTGGGTTTTCTCTGTGCTTTGGACCGATGCTGGAGAGAGAGCGGGTAGTCAATGTACAGATGGCTGACGATGCTGAGATGGGTACTGATTCTGATGTTCATCCAATTGGGTCTGTGTATTGTCTCTCGAAGGAGCCTTGTCTAGGAGAGTTAAAGAAGACCAGGAGGGGAAGAAGCAGGGAGACAGCAATGGGCCGGCTCCCTAGGCAGTACCCAGGACAGCAACCACTCGGACACACCCTACTCACAGGAGGAAGGAGGCTGAGGCTGAAGTCAGAGCATGCCAGATCAGAGAGGATCACTTGGCCACATGGGCCCTGGCAACACAAGCTGATGTTCCCAAGTCACAGTGCTTCCATGGTTTAGCCTTTGCCTCCCTTTCTTCCATACAAGGGGATAGGGAGCGCTGAGCTACAGCCACCGCCAACCTCTTAATGCCCGAGAGTTTACGTCTGCCACTTAAAAATGCTAACTTGATGAACAGGAAAACACATAAACCAGTTCATATTCAGCAGACTATATTGCAGATTTGAAGCTACTTAAAAATACACCTTCACCCCATTTGCTTATCCACCTGTTTTGTCTTCAGTGATTGTGTGATGGTGAACATCTCAGACTGCCGGTGCCCGGCTATTAACAGATATAGCATTTGGGGTCTTAAAGGCTTGAAGTTACACAAGCCGTCATTCAGCAGTGAAGCAATAAGTCCACATGGAAGAAGCACACCACCAGTGTGATCATGAGGAATCATAGGGACAGGGTAATAGGCATCAGCAGACACCTAGCAAACAAAAACATATTGTTGAGAATGAGGGGGGCTGGAGTAGAGATCCAAAGCCCATCTGTAGATAGCGGAAAAATCTCCCCACAGAGGGTCCACAGGGAGGGGATGAATCACCAGGGTACAGTAAAGCTTTGATGAAACACACTATATTCCTCTGGTTCCTTGAGGCTTCCTCACCCCCCACTCCCATGACCCCAGTGCTGCTTCCCAGTTCAGACTAGACCAGAACATGTCCACAGGTCTAGAAAGGGATGGGAGCTCATGACACACAGAATCCTGGAGCGGGAATGGTGATGCCGGAAGGGTAGGGGGAAGAGGGGGAGAGGAAGGAACAAAGGGGGAACCAATGGCAATGATCAACACATGAATTTCCACCCCTCTACAGGAGGAAGAACAACAGAAAACACGGGGGAAGGGAGACAACGGTCGGTGTGGGAGATGAAATAAGAAAGATTGTACATAACAATGTACAATCTACTGGGGGGTGATGAGGGGGCGCAGAGGAAGGGAGAGGGAAAAAAAGAGCTGGTACCAAGGGCTCAATAGAAAGTAAATGTCTAGAAGAGAATGAGGGCAACCTATGTACAAACATGCCTGATTCAATTGATATATGGATTGCGACAAGAGTTGTATGAGCCCCCAATAAAATGATTTTTTAAAGAACTAAAATACAAATAGTAAAATGCTAAATACACTTTAAATCTTATTTTTTACACACACACAAAAATATGCCTTAATAATACTAGTTAATGCTCATATACTCTTTACTTTACACCAGAAATGATTCTAAGTTACAGACAGTTAACTCTTTTACAAGACTAGAAAGCCCTTTCTCCCTTACAGAGAGACAGACATTACAAAAGGAGTTGTGTTTTGTTGAATTCAAATTTCAAGCTTGGTCAGATAATAAATGTATTATAAAACCCAAACAAACCCTGTGCCATCAAGTTGATTCTGACTCACATGTGCATAGTTCATGTGCTCAGATAATTTAATGTAGGCATGTATGGAACTAGCATAGCTGATGGCACTGCAGGTTGCTCACGGCAAGGTCAGCGGTGCAAGCCCACCGGCAGCTCTGCTGGCAAAAGATGAGGCTGTCTGTTCCCATAAAGAGTTCCAGTCTCAGCAAACCTATATAGGGTTGCTAAGAACCAGAATTAACTCATAGCAGTGGACTCAAGTGCTTGGCTGCTAACTAAAAAGGTCGGTAGTTCAAACCTACTAGCTGCTCCACAGGAATAAGGTGCTCCCATTAGTTTCCATCAAGATGAGAACCTTTTACACCCCATAGGGCCGCCCTATCCTCTCCGGTAGGGTCTCGCTGTGCACTGGAGTGGACTGGACAGCAAAGGGCTGGTTTAATAGATATATAAAATATACATTTCTTCATATATGTAGAAGTATAAGCTTATATACATAGATAGATGTTTGATGAGTAAAGCAAACACTATACAGCAATGAAAAAATTCTTAAGCTTCATCTAGTCAATGTTTTTGAGTATACTTACCACAATCTGAAAGTTTAGCATCTCTCTGCTGCTTATAGTCTTTGTTCCCTGATATTTGAATTTCCACTCTCAGTTGGACCCTATCCCAAAACACAGTCCACCAAGTAATGTTTCTGAGTCCCAGAAAAGGAAGCTTACAAAATGTACTCCTGGTCTGGTTTGTTTTGTTTTGTTTTCATTCAAACTTGCGACCACGGAAGAACATACATCCCTCTCTTTGCCTTGCAGGGCAGCACCAGTGCTTGTCCATCTCCGTTTGTCCAGGTGCCAGGTGAGTACTGGGATTCAATTCACTGGGCCCCTTTTTGAGTTGAAAATGGCTTCTATTCTTATAAAACAGCTTTCCAGCACTAAATTAATTTTGTTTAACTAGTTATGGAAAAAATGTGGAAAGAACAAATGCTGTGTTGTCTATATTTTTATAATTTAAAAGAATGACAAAGGAAAAATATGATTTTTAAGAGATGAGGGAAGTCAGAAAGTCTTGGTGCAAATTCACGGATCCTTTGAGTAAACAAAGGTATCAAAATGTGAAGCCATTGTTTCTCAATATGTCCTCTACCTACATCTACATACTTCTAAAGGCAGTGTTTCCATCTCTCTAATCCAGTGCTTCTCAACCTTCCGAGTGCCACGACCCTTTAATACAGTTCCTCATATTGTGGTGACACCCCCCCCACCAACCATAAGATTATTTTCGTTGCTGCTTCATAACTGTAATTTTGCTACTGTTATGAATCGTAATGTAAATATCTGATATGAAGGCTGTATTTTCATTGTTACAAAGTGAACATAATTAAACCTATGGTTGGGAGCCACGGCTCTAATCCTTTCCCCGTAGAAGTCTTTGCTCTTTGATTAACACCATGTCCAAAAGGCAGTTTTGGTATCCTCGGGGGACTCACATCGTGTTCTTTGAGTTTGAGGAGCAAAAAGAAGCCTGAAGGGGCAAGACCAGGGCTGCAGGATGGACGGGGTAAGGTTTCCCAAAGGAATTCTCCTAGGACAGCGCTTGTTACCCTCAGAGAATGAACAGTGAAGGGGGAAGGGGAGGGGGGAGAGTTCTTGGTGCAATTTTCCTGGTCTTTTCCTCACTAATGCAGTTTTTAATATTCTTCAAGTTTCTTTCTAAGAAGCCTCTGGGATTCTTAGAGAAAAATCTATCAAGATTAGCCCTTAGGACTAAAAAAATAAAATAAAATGACCACAAACTTCTGGGCTGACCCCCAATGCTTTGAACTGAACTGGCCCTGCAGCTTCCCTGGGAGCCATTGTTTGATTAGACCTTTTTTAAAAAAAAAATCTTTTATTGGGGGCTCTTACATCTCTTATCACAATCCCTACTTTCATCCAGTGTGTCAAGCACTTTTACACATATGCAGCCATCATCATTTTCAAAGCATTCTCTTCCCCCTTGAGCCCCTGATAACAGCTTCCCACCTCTACCCCCTCCCTCCCCAGCCCGCCCTCCCTCACGAGCCCTTGATAAGTTATAGATTATTTTTCCATATTTTACATCATCCTCCGTTGCCCCTCACCCACTTTTCTGTTATTCGTTCCCCTGGGAGGGGGTTCTAGTTTGATCCTTGTGATCAATTCCCTGGCTTTTCTCCCCCCACCTCTCCTAATCCTCCTGGTATCTCTACTCTCCTTGTTGGCCCTGAGGGGTTTATCTATCCAGGATTCCCTGTGTTGTGGGCTCTTATCTGTAGCAGTGTGCATGTTCTGGTCTAATCTGATTTGTAAGGTAGAATTGAGGACATGAGAGTGAGGTGAAGGAAGCACCAAAGAACCAGAGGAAAGGCCCCCTAACAAGATTAACGGAATGCTGGTGGTGAAGAGGTTGTGCATTTGGTCAACAGTTCAAAACCACCAACCGCTCCTTGGGAGAAGGACGAGGCTTTCTACCCCTGTAAAGAGTTACAGTCTCGAAACCCACAGGGACAGTTCTACCCTGTCCAATGGCTCTGAACAGATTGGATGGCAGTGAGTTTGGTTTGGTTTTAACAAGACTAAGACAAGTATACTACTGAGAGAATTCCCCTGCTGCAGTCCTCAACTGATTATGGAGACATGCTTAAACACGTTTTCCTTAGAATAAGCCCACGGATATGTGACCTCAAACTCTCAGAGCAGTATTTTTTAACTGATCTGATCTGCTTCCGATGAAAACTCTAAATGCAGTCTTCAAAGACAGGAGCAGATGAGCAGTTGAGAGACCATGGCATGAACAGAACTGTGCTATAAATTCCCATGGAGAATTTTGTCTTCCCCCATATACAAATACATATATACATATACATCATGGAAATGTTGATTTGAACACAATACTATGCCAAAGGGTTGACTAAAAATGTAAAGTATGGCTCCCCTCGAGTTTTCAGGTCATTTGGAAATATGATTGTATGACTGGCATAAAAGATTAGCGGATCGAATATGAACTGCTACATTGTGCGGTGAGGCCAGAGTCCTAGGCATGTTGAGTCGTGTATGACATGGTCATGATAACCTGGGAAAGGTGTCTGGATGGGACCCTCTTCTCTCCCAAACAAGGTGGGCAGGGACGAATCCTAGGGTAGTCCTGTGGTCAGAGGGAGCATCAAGAAAACAAGCCCTTTGAACTTCCTCTGACTCAGCCAGGTGTGGTCTTAGGGTGGCTACTCAGAACACACCAGACATTAGTTGGAATATGGAGTCCACGTTATTAACGACTATGTGTCTCCTGCTTTAGCAAAAAGACAAAGTCAGGGAGTGTTTGGCAAACACCCGTCTTCTCTCTTTGACCCATTGCACTCAGTGGCCGTAATGCACCTCTTGGCTTCAGCTTCATTCCATTTTCATCAAAGGATGCTTTCAAACCCAAGTGCACGCTTCCCCAACGTGCAGAGTCCTGGGGAGCTGGGTGCAGGGTGCAGTGTGGCCACAAACCAAGAACACACCTCCCGGCCATCGGAACAATTCTGACTCAGAGAGGGACAAGGTAGCAGTGCTCCTGTGAGTTTCTGAGCCTAACTCATCTTTCTCCCAGTGTGGCCACAAGAGGGCAGCAAATAACACAAGACTCTTCCAAAAACCAGACAGCATGTTCCTGAGGCTCTCTTAGCTGTACTGGCCAGGAGCGCTCTTCCCAAAACCAGCCATGAATTCAGAGGTGCAGAACCCAAAGAGAAGGGCCAGCGTGCAAGACGTAAAAGACAAGTGCAGCTTGCCCTTGAGCGGAGACCAGGTTCTAGGTATCCCTTTATCTAGTCAACAACAAGGCTTCCGGAATGTTCTGCAGCCCGGAAGAAGCTAGTTGTACGAGACCCTATGTATATCTATCTACTGCACACAGGGATGCCCTAAAACCGACGCTTCACCCAGCGGAACCAAACAGGTCTCTTTTCATTCTCTCTTGAATCCAGCCCCTTCCCAGCACCATTGCTTGGCCCAAATCAGTTGACCATTGGACTGCAGCCCGTTGGGTGAAGGGAGTGAATTCTTCCCCAAAGGCAGAGTCTACTTGAATTATGTGAACTAGATGGCCAGGGCTAGTTCAGCGAGTTGATGCAGAAATACTTCATGCGACGCAAGGCACTTGCCTATGTAAATGGTAGCCTGGGTCTCAGGCTTACAGAAGCAAGCCCATCCCCCGGGTGGGCGCACCACACTGGCAGCAGCAACGATGAGAAATGCTTTCCTGCTCATTTGGGGTTTTGTGGGGGGTGTTTTTTGGCTCGTTACAGGTTCGCCGGTCATGTCAGGTTACTACGGTGTCAGGCGATCTTTCTTATCCGACTCAGACTTCCATAGCACGAAACCGTTCTCAAATGACGCCTACCCCTCCGGCGTGGCTAAGCCCTTCTCCTGCGAGGCCTCTGCGGGCCAGAGCTTCCCGGGCCTCCTGGAGCCCTACTTCCCGGAGCCCTACGGCGACTACCGGCCCGCCGCCCTGCCGCCCAGCGCGGGCCCCGCGTTCAGCGCCTCGCCCCTGCCACCGCTGCTGCCGCCGCCCTTCCCCGGGGACCCCGCACACTTCGTCTTGGTGAGCCCGCGACTGGCCCCCCCTGAGTCCGCATGGCAGGGAGTCATCTTCAAGGGTCCCTCGATTCAGGGGCTGCTAACCGATGGCGAAGTCAGCAGTTCGAAGCCACCAGCCGCTCCGCTGGGGAAAGACGAGGCTTTCTACTCCCATAAAGAGTAACAGTCTGGGAAACCCACAGGGACAGTGCAACCCTGCCCTATAGGTTCGCGATGAGTCAGCATCCACTCGACGGCCGTGAGTGTCTACGGGAAAGAGCAACCATGGCCACACTGAAGGATGCCCAACAACCAGCGAGGGAAACTGCCGTGGGGGTGGAAACTGCTCGTTGCCACACTCTGCCCCATCCAGTGGCGCCCAGGACAGGAGTCTCAACCTTGATAGACTGACCTAAACACCAAGAGGGTGTACCTAGCTGTTTGGACAGAAAGGACCCACCAGAAGGGGTAGCACGTGAAACTGTAAGGTCAGGATGGACGCCCCGTTTGAGAATCCTCTACTGATTTTAACAGATGTTTCTGGGTCATTCCCCTCCCCTCCACCTCCTCCCCAGGGTATAGGAAGAAACCCTTGGTGGCTAGGTGGCTAACCGCAAGGTCAGCAGTTTGAGTCCACTAGTTGCTCTGGGAGAGAAAGATGAGGCTTTCTACTCCCTCAGAGAGCTACAGTTTCAGAAACTCACAGGAGGAGTTCTACCCTGTCTTACAGAGTTGCTGTGAGTCAGCATCGACCCCATGACAGTGAGTTTGATTGGCACATTGAAGAAACAACTCAGACATATCTGAGTGGTAATCTCCTAGGTTGGGCATGGCTGACTCCTTACCCCCAGGCAAAAAAAATCAGACTTTACCTGCCACCATGTTCCTCATAACATTTCTACCCGATACAACTCCAGAGAGGTCAGTTCATCAAAGTCTGGAACTAGCCCGAGACCTGTAAAGTCTTCGGGCCCAAGAAAATCAATCTCTAAGTTGAAATTTTAGGCACAGAGTAAGGATCAATGTTATCGAGTACAGGATCCATGCCAAGGTGCCCTGGTGGCATTGTGGACTATAGAGGCATTGAACTGCCAACTGCAACGTCAACAAGTCGAACCTACCACAAGCCGCTCTCTGAGAGAAAGAGGAGGCTTTCTACTCCTATAAAGGGTTACAGTCTCCCAAGACTCACAGGGGCACTTTTACCCTGTCCTGTAGGAGCCTGGTGGTGTAATGGTTACATGTTGGGCTGCGATCCACGTGGCCAGCAGTTCAAAACCACCAGCAGCTCCACAGGAACAAGACTGGGCTTTTGATTCCTGTAAACAGTCAGTCTCTAAGCCCACAGGGAGCTGCGATGAGTCAGCTCGGACGGATGGCTGTGAGTTTGCTTTATGGTATAGGATCACTGTGAGTTGGAATCGCCTTGGTGGCCGTGAGTTTGGTGTGGGTTGGGCTCTGTGCCCAGGGATTGTACGCACCTTTGTTCACTTAATTCAGAGTACAGCGTGAAGTGCCCAACTGTCAGGAAGGTGGTAAGGGGCCCAGCCATGAATCAAACCCGGACCTTTGCAGCCCCTTTCTTGTCGGACTCAGACTTTCACACCAGGTAGAAATTTTCAAAGCCTCCCTCTTTTTGCTCACGGTGTCCAGATTAGCCTTTCTGACCTACGTAGCTAGAGATGCTTACTAGGTTGTTGGAGAACTACCTCTCCTACGAGCAAGCCTGGAGCTCACCTTTCCTACGGTGGCAATGCATTACACGGCCAGACCACTGTGAGCCTCATTAAAAAAAAGTGCAAGCCAGGGCATTGTAAACAATAAGATACCATCTACTGGTCATTTTATTAATCTCATCTCAGCATTTCACTGATTCAATGCTGTTTTCTTAGAGAGGAATCGAATCAGCAATGAGCGAGCTATCATCCAGAGAATTCTGACTCGTGACGGTGCGGTGTCCGTAGAGTAGAATGCTCCCCAGGGTATCCCTATGGCTGATGTAAAATGGCTTTTCTTCCCAGGAGCCTCTAGGTGGATTCCAGCGACCAACCTTTCACTTAATCCTTTGCACTACCCATGGATTATTAGCTTGTCGATACATTAAAACATGTATATCTATAGCCTTCACTGTCATCTAGTCTATCCCGACTCTATAGGACAGGCTAGAACTGCCCCTGTGAGTTTCCCAGGCTGTAGCTGTTTGCAGGAGTACAAAGCCCTGTCTTCCTCCCACGGACAAGCTGGTGGTTTTGAACTGTGGGCCATGTGAATTGCAGCCCAAGGTGTAAGCACTATGCCATCAAGGCTCCTCATATACATGTATGGCTCCAGCTCATGGCCATTGAGCCAGTTCTAACTCCTGCAAGCACAACCCTGGAGGAGGAAGGGAACTAAAATGTCACTGCTGGTGTCAAAGCCCAGAAGGAACTTGGCTTTGGGCAGCAGCAAGACGTCAGGAACCCTGCCTACTTGGGGAGCTGCTATCTCTTAGCAACCAGCACTGGGGAGAGGGCCTTTCCTTATCAGAGTCTCACATTTGAATAACCCTGGTCCTTTCCATTTTCTCCAGAGAGACTCGTGGGAGCAGACGATGCCCGATGGTCTCAGCCAGTCGGACCCCATGCCCACAGACACCCTGCAGACCTTGATGCCCAGTGCCAGTTGCCTGTCACAGCTTGAGGCCGGGAGCACCCCCCAGCACAGGAGCTCAAGCTGGGGGACCACCCTGACTGGGGCTCAGCCTTACTCTCTGCATGGGCTGGAGGAGCTGCACCACACGCCGGGGTACCCCCCCACACCCTCCTACCCATTCACCCCTTTCATGACCATGGCAAATGACCTCGCGCCCAAGGTGGTGCCGCTCACTGCAGATGAGGGGGCGGATGCTCCTTCCCTTGCCGACGCTGCTGCATGGACGAAGGAAGACGGGGGCATGGTGTGGGGGTCGTACGAGTGCCGCCGAGCCTACTGAGGCTCTGGGTGACAGGAATCCTACCCTACCTTCCTGGGGTCCAGTTCTGCTTCTGCGGGTTGTTGAAGAGGTGCGTGTTGACGCACTGAGAACCGGGCTTTCACCATAAGCCACACTGACACCAAATGCGAGCAAGTGAGGGCGTGCACTTCTAACCCTTGCCACCACCAGCACCCTGGAGGTCCACCGAATATTAAGTAAATACCTTGGGCCCCCATTCTAGAAGCCATCAGACCATGATGCCTTGCTGAAACTTTAGTAACCCATTATTAAATCTTCTGTTAGCCTCCAGGTATCATTTTTGTTTGGTTTGGGGCTTTGTTTTGGGTTGGGATTTTTTTGCACTGATATTATTTTCCTAAAATTGCATTAAAATGTACATGCAGATCATGATACTTGATGATGTTCCTGCTTGATTTTTCTGAGTTATAATATATGTGTATTCTTTAGTGAAAACAGTGCACAGGCTATCATGCTAATGGGGTCACATACAACGAAGCTCATTTTATACCATGTGACTGTATTTCCCACCTTCTGATGGCCGAGGGACAAAATGCAGTCTCATAGGGAAATGCCGTCTCATCACTCAAACAGAACAAAGTCAGAGGCCACGGCTTCCTAAGCACACCGTCTCAACTCTGCCGGGACCTCTCCAAAGTGATCCAATCCCGAACGAGTAATAAAGACAAGGTCTCTCTTTGATCCATGCCAGCCTTAAACGTGTGGACATTGTCTCTCTAATGGCTTGGGTAATCAGTGATCCGAGCAGAAGAATAAGATTGGCATTTTGGAATCAAATAGGAGTACACGTATTTTAAAGAAATACGATAAAACCCAGGGCCAGACTATTGATAAGAAACAGCAACGAACAGGGTCTCCTTGTTGTTAGTTACAGTCAAGATGATTCTGACTCAGATGACCTTGAGTGTGTGGCATGGCACTGCCCACTAGGGTTTTCAAGGTTGTGACCTGTTGAAAGCAGCTGGCAAGGTCACTATTCCCAGGAGCTTCTGGGTACGTTTGAACCACCAACCTTTGGGCTAGTCGTTGAAGGCTTAACTTTTAACACGTGTACCACCCCGGGACTCTTACTATGCATAAATGGGGGAACGTACCTTTGAAACCCCCATCTATCTTGCGCACGTTTTCCTAGGACGGGTTCCTTGGAAAACTAAGTTCCCACAGCAAGTCCCATCGAGGGAGGTCCAGGTCCATCGGTTGTACCTGCACCCTTCCTATCTTCCCACTGCCTTCCTTTCTAGCTTTTGGCTTTCTGAGCCCCTCTGCTCTCCCCTAGCTAATTCTCTACCTCTGTCACCTGGGAGCACAAAGGTCTCCATCTGCACCAGGTTGCCCAGACACACCTGTGACACTCTTCTTCACAGCCCAGTCTTTGTTGCAATCTCACAGACGCTATCCCAGCCAGGTGGTGGTGGAATGGGTTCCGACTCATAGGGTCTCTATGCTCAATAGAAGGAAATCCTGCTTGGTCCTTTGGCTCTGATTTGAGCTCATTGTTGCAGCTACCAGGTCAATCCATCTCGTTGCGGGTCTTCCGCTCTTTCACTGACCCTTTGCTTACCATGCACGATGGCCTTCTCCAGGGACAAGTCCCTCCTGAGAACATGTACAAAGGATGGGAGACAACATCTAGCCATCTTTGCTTCCAAGGAGCTTTCTGGCAAGACTTCTTGCAAAACAGATTCCGTTCTTCTCCCGGCTGTCCATAGGATAGTCAGTATTCTTCATCAACGCCATCGTTCGGACCTATCCATTCGTCTGCAGTCTCCCTTATTCACTGCCCCACTTGCTCAGGCCCACGAGCCAATTGAAAACATCATGGCTTGGGCCACTTTGGTATTCAAAGTGACAAACGTTTTTGCTTTTGAGTACATCAAAGAGGTCTTTTGCAGCAGATTAGCCCCATGCAATTCATCATCTGCTTTCTTGATGGCTGCTTACATAGTGTTGATGATGGAGCCCAGTAACATGAGATTCTTGGTAACTTCAACACCATCTCCATTTATCATGATATTATTATTGGTCCAGTTGTGAAGACTGGTCTATTACTCAGCTGTTGGTTTGTCGCACTGTGGTGGCTTACATGTTGCTGTGATGCTGGAAGCTAGGCTAGTGGTATTTCAAAACCCATCAGAATCTCCCATGGTGGATACATTTCAGTAGAGCTTCCAGACTAAGACAGACTAGGAAGAAGGACATGGTGTTCTCCTTCTTTAAGAAAAAAAAAAAAAAAAAGACCAGTTAAAACTTTATACCAGCTCAGTAGGAGTCCAGAAATTCAAATAATGAATTTAATTCACATTTAAAAGCAGATATGGAACCTTGGTGATGTGGTGGATGCTCGTGCTACTAACCGACAAGGTCAGCAGTTTGAAACCACCAGCCACTCTGAGGGAGAAAGACGGAGTTTCCACTCTTGTAAAGATGAGTTACAGCCCGGGAAACCCACAGAGGGTAGTTCCACCCTGACCTTTAGGGATGCTTTGAGTCAGAATCAACTGGTTGGCCGTGAGTTTGGGTTAATATTCCTCTTCTCCAGGGTTTTGGGTACTTTCTAACTAAAAAACGTAGTTAGACACGCAAACCTTTCTCTATCTCACCCATAAGGAGAGACTGAGGAATGAGTGTGTGCTCCTTGGCAGCTGGGTGTCCCTCTCCCAGCTTAACTGGCTGCAGTTCTTGCTCCACTCCCACCAGCCCCTTGGGACGGTCTTATCTAATGAAAGATTATGAGATCCGGGTCGTGTCTGGGTTCAGGGGTCTCAACATCAGTTGTTGGATCAACTGTGTACGGTTGAATCACCACAGCTATCCACAGCTTACCATGTGCTGCCAAGTTGCACGCAACACCGTAGTGATTGTGTGCATCATAAATGCGTGTCCAAATCAAGAGCTTTCCTGTTCTTGGGTTGGTAGCCCTAAGTGGCAGGCATGCTCACGTCTCTGAGGTCGGCCATTCCTGCATCCTGCTCATCTCCTCAGGGCTGCCGGAGGGTGCAATGGCTTTCAGACAGGACAGGACATGTGGCGCTGAGCAACTTGGCTCTTGAACAACCCGTGGGGCACTCCATGAGTTTAGTGAGGGAGCTCTACAGTCTTCTGCGTGTTCTGAAAATTAACTTACGAAAGGAGACACGCTGTTAGATACGTTTCAGTTATCTAATCTACGCAGGGCAGGGAGACTGGTAACCCACAAAAACCAGCCCCTCAGTGCCTGCAGTCAATTCCAGCTCATAGGGACACTATGGGATAGGGTAGCCCCCCCCCCCCCCAACCAGGGTTTCCGAGACTAACTCTTTACAGGAGTAGAATGCTTCATCTTTCTCTCACAGGGTGGCTGGTGGTTTTGAACCACTGGCCTGGCGGTTAGCTGCTCAATGCCAAATGGCAGCTGAAAATTTTCAGAATGAAGATTTAGCATACAAAGAGGATTCGATGAGACATATATGTTCACTGGGTTCTCGCTCGTGGTCCTAGGAATTTTCAATGGTCTATTTAAAACTGACAGAAGCTGCAAAGCTGCCGACCTGGAAATGCATGGTATTGTCCTAGGACATCGCCCACTCCCCCAATGGCTGTCAGCCTCACCTGTGTCTGAGAAGAACTCTGTCCATCGGGGTTTCAATGCCCCAGTGTTCAGAACTGCAGGTTTTTCTTCTGAGGTGGTTTCTGGTGAACACCAACCTCCCCCTTAGTGGCCAAGTGTGTTAACCATTGGCTTCCCCCAGGGCCTCTTTCCCTCACTGTTTTCTTCCACTTGCTGGTCTCTATTCATAATAACACACAGACTGGCAACAACAACTCCACAGCGATTCCTCCTCCCTAAACTTGTTACACTTTGACTCACCTTCCTGGGAAAGCCAGAGAGACGCAGAGTGGGGTGGGGGTGGGGGGGGTCACAAGTCCACCTTTGTCAGTTCCTGCCAGGGCACGGGATGTGTTCAAGGTGAAAAATAAGCAGATTTAGAAAACTGACCAGACGATAGTGTCAAAAGTTAAGAAAAACCCTGAAAAGGAAATTTGCCCATGCAAAGCTGCCCTACCGCTCCTAGTCAGGAGAGCCCTGTAAACAGACAGGATAGCACGCGGCTGGAAGGGTTTGCGCTGTTATTCTAACCCTGGAGGACAAGAGAAGAAAACCACAGCTCTACCACCTTTATTGAAGGAATGCTTTCAACCTTCAGGATGACTCGTGGCTCGGCTAAAGAATACAATACAATGATGTTGTTGTGGTAGAGTAAGAAAACTAAAGAACTTTATAAAGAAGTTCCACAAAGGGAAAATAATTAATAACCTTAATAATTCCGTACACAGGCATTCTTTCCCTCTCCCCTCTTCTCCCTCTCCCTCTATCTCTCCTACACACACACACACACACATACACACACACACACACAATAAGAAATCTTTCATGGTAGTTCATTTCTTAATAGTTACACGTATCCATAAGGAATAAAAACATCAGTCACACGTTAAAGAACCAAAATAACCACGGAAACCCATGGTTTAATCATACTGCATTATCTCGATTCCAGCAAACACATACCAGAAGGACCATTTCTTCCCTCTTTCTAGTCTGTCTGAGTCTGGAGGCTCTGTTGAAACCTGTCCACCACGGGTGGCCCTTCTGGTGTTTGAAATACCAGTGGCACAGCGTCCAGCCTCACAGCGCCATGCAAGTCACCACAGAACAACAAACGGATAGCTGAGTGGTGGTGCAGGGTCACCATGGTGCATGTTGTCGTTCTATATCCGAACTTAGCAATATATTGTGTATAGGTGCTGCATCTAACCTTCGGGAATTGGTTATTTAGACATTTCACAAATATCTCCTAATGCAAGCCACTGTCCACCTATTGTCAGAATACTCAGAGACAAAAGCTAAGAAATACAAATGACTGAAGAGTTTGCACAAACTGACCTCAGTGAGTTGTCACCCTCTGAATCAAGGTCTTAATTATGATTCATCTGTGTGGTCT